TAGAACGTGAAAAGCGATCTTCAGCTGAGATGCCACAAAACTTCATACTACTACTAATAATTAAAATATATATAAAAACATTCTAAACCATTTAACTGATAGTAATATTCGGTCAAAATTAATTATTTCGGTTAACGGTTAAACGGTCAAAAGGAGCATCCCTAATCTTGATACCTAAGTAATCAAAAGCCATCTGACCTGCTGCTTGGTGCCCCATCCTGGGTTGTTCCCCGCCTTGTTCCCGTAGCCTCCGGGATAGGCTCCAGACCCCCCCCAACCCTGAATAGGATAATTGGATGGATGGAATACTCTGTGCTAACAAACATGCCTGCAGACGTGTGCATCTGTAGACATTCAGAAACGACATACCATCTGCAGAAGAGGCCTTCTCTTAAAAGACCACAAATATGCCTACATACATTTAAGAATTAATGCTGTTTAATACAGTTTAATTACACATTCAGTAGTAATGTCCTTTTTAGAGGTTTGTGCAGTTATAATTGGTATGCTAATATACATTGGTGAAAATATCTTCATTAATAAATTATAAATGATTGTACTTTTATATATCATTCCATGCCCTCTTTTACGACCCAGCTTTGATGCTTCAAAGAATAGAATCCTTTTTTGTTCCGTGGACATGAAGCCGCAACGTTTACTCCCTGCAGGCCGAATGGGGAACTGCAGGCGAGCTCTCCAGATGATCATGGAGGAACTGGGGGATGTGGACAAGGCCATCGAGTTCGCGAAAGAGCAGGACGACGCCGAGCTGTGGGAAGACCTCATCTCCTACTCCATCGATAAGCCGCGTGAGTCGCACAGGGCACCGAGGAACGGAATCTCGACGGGGGCTCTGCACTGCTTTTCCCCAAGGGTCCATTGCCGCCACAGACACTGAGACCATGTTGCTCTGTTCCAGCATTCATCACCGGGCTGCTGAACAACATCGGCACCCACGTGGACCCCATCCTGCTCATTTACCGCATCAAGGAGGGGATGGAGATCCCCAACCTCAGGGACTCGCTCGTCAAGATTCTGCAGGACTACAACCTTCAGGTCAGCCTGGGTGTCCCAGGTTTCATGCCTGGCCTGCTTGGCTTAATCTAAGTGTCCAACAAACGAATGAATGAATGAATATTTCATTATTAATGCTCTTGTTGAAATCCCCAACATAAGCTGTTGTCAATCCCAAATATTGTATGTGTTTGGGTAAGGATCCCAAATGTAACCAGGAAGCAAAATGTGAAGTATGTGTGATGTTCTTCGACATTCCGAACACGGCTGAGTTGTTAGCCACAAGGCAGGCCAAACAGAAGCATGGCTGTCTAGTTACAACCAGGGCCGGATCATGGTGAGGGCATGATGGGCGACTGCCTAGGGCGGCATCCTCTGGGGGCGGCAAAAACTTGGCAAAACACCGACGCTAACCTCCACCCCACCTCCCCACCGACAATTTTTACCACAGGTACAGTCTCGGAAAATATGACATTTTAAATTGGAAAGTGAATGGAAACCCTGGCTGCCCCACAAGGCCCTGAGTACAGCTTCCTGCCCCTGTACACACTGAGGGGTGCAGCAGTGAGGCAGCACTGCACCACAGATACTCAAAGCTGGCTGCCCCACAAGGCCCTGAGTACAGCTTCCTGCCCCTGTACACACTGAGGGCTGCAGTAGTGAGGCAGCACTGCACCACAGATACTCAAAGCTGGCTGCCCCACAAGGCCCTGAGTACAGCTTCCTGCCCCTGTACACACTGAGGGCTGCAGCAGTGAGGCAGCACTGCACCACAGATACTCAAAGCTGGCTGCCCCACAAGGCCCTGAGTACAGCTTCCTGCCCCTGTACACACTGAGGGGTGCAGCAGTGAGGCAGCACTGCACCACAGATACTCAAAGCTGGCTGCCCC